TTATTGCTTGTTGTGAAAAGGCGTTTATACAGCTGCATATTTTTTTCTTTCCCAGGGTGTTGTAAACTCAGTTAAGACTGGGAAGAAGATTGCCTGTTAAGACTCAGCACCAAGACAGGCTTACCTGATTGGCTCAGCAACAAACATCAGACCCCTACAAAGAGATATTCAGTTGAAAATAGCAAGTGTATTGTCTGTTCCAGTTGACCTGGTGTCATCCTCAGCTTTGTTTTCAAAAAGATGTCTTTTGAATGATGTGGGATATGATGGTACCATGTGTTGTTGTGGTGATTACGTTTTAATTGCAAGCAATGGTCAGGAGATTGTGGTTAAGATTGAAACAATGTTATCAGTTAACTGTGGGAGTGACTTATGTAGAATAGTAGGAATGGGCTACTTGTACTCCTTCTACCGTGATGCAGTTGGGCAAATTTTTTGCAACTACTGGACTGGTTTCTCCAAAGTTAAAAAAAATCCAGTAAGAGATGTCACTTTTTTTCTGGCAGAGAACATCTTGAGAAAAGTTCTGCTATATGACTGTGGCAATGATTTGATGACTGTTGTTGATTATATGCGTCCATGGAATCATTTCCCATGTGTGCCTATTGTGCCTGTGCATGCTGAAAAGGGTGATTTGTTGCTTATTCAGGGTGAAGGTCCCACTGATGTCTGGTATGGTCATGTACAAGATGTAGATTATCTAAACAAGACAGAGGATGTGTATTTTTTCCTTAAGAGTCATCGATGTGAAAATGTTTTTGTCCGTGAATCTCGTGGTAGAGGTGCGAGAAACACAGTGTGTTGAAGGTCTGTGATTGGACTTGCTGATGGTCAATAGAGCGGCCCTGGCATATGGACACGGGATTCTTGAAATAATGTATTGAGGGTATGGTCCTGTTACTGTAAAACTGTAGATGTAAAACAAACTTTTGTAAAGGTATCCTTAGGAAACTGATGGTACTGAATTACCCTGAAGTAAAATGAATGAGTACATGTACACTGTAATGAGCAAATTGTGAAGTTAATAAGGTTATTTGAAACTTGAAAACCATGAAATTTGACAAGCAAGTGACATGTTGTAAAGGATACAGGTGTAGATGTCAACTAGGTAATATTTTTTTTAGATTTACCATGCAAAACTAGAATACACCAGTGAGTGTTTTGAGACAAAGGCTGGGAATCATTAATTTGGGGTTGTAAATTCATTGGGGCCATATCACTTCATATTGTCCACAAGTTATTCTCAATTTTGGGGGGAATTTTTCCTTTTTATTAACAATTTTTGGAAGAACTTGGGCAGATGTTCACTTTTTATTGATAATTTTGGGTATCATATAATTACTTGGAGCAATTTTCCCTTTTTCACAATATATTGGCAATAACTTGTTGGGAAAGTATAACCATTTCTTATCATCTCTGGGAATAACTTGAGAAAATGTTCCCTTTTTATTCCCAACTTGGAATAACTTGGGGATATTTTCCCATTTTATTCTCAAGTTTAAGAACAACTTGGGGAAATGTTCCTTTTCTATTCTCAAGTCTGGGAATAATTTGGGAAAATATTACTATGTTGCGCTTAATCTGGGAATAANATTTTATCCTCAAGACTGGCAATTACATGGGCAAATTTTGTGTTCTCACATCTGGGAAAAACTTGGGGAACTGTTCCCAATTTATTCTCAAAGCTGGGAATAGCTGGCGGAAATGTCTCCAATTAATTCTCAAGTCTGGGAATAGGTTTGGCAAATGTTCCCACTTTATTCTCAAGTCTGGAAATAACTTGGGAAATGTTTCCAGTTTATTCTCAAGTCTGGGAACAGGTTGGGAAAATGTTCCCATTTTATTCTCAAGTCTGGGAATAACTTGGGGAAATGTTCCTTTTTTTTCCCAATTTTGGGAATAACATGGGTAACTAAATATTCACAGTATTTTCCCAAAATTGGGATACAAGAGAAAGCACAGTGTATTTCCCAATAAAAACCCGTTTTTAGGATGCTGGGAGACATCTACTTCCCAACATTATCCCAAAAAAGGAATTTCTTGTCCCAGGTTTTTCCCAATAATGGGAAAATTTCCCATTTAATTCCCAACTGGGAATCTTAAAAAGTTTCCTGTGCTATACGCAATTTCGTTGTCTCCCGATCCAGTTTGACAACGCCCCGGTGTGGAAGATAGCATTCAGGAATGCAGCTCGATGTGGCCCCCTTGTAGGAGAATCTTTAACTGATTGTCATATGCCGTATACTCCTCAGGTGTCATCCTTCTCACCATTCAACGAAGTCTTGTTTCACTGATGACCTTATTCAGTGCAAAGTTTTTTCGGGCTTGAGGCTTCCATGGCCACGACACAACAAACTTGCCAGTTTCAGTACACTTAATGGTGTTCTTCACTTCCAGTTCAAGATCCCGTTCCAACATCTCATCACTTGTAACACCAAGATGATCTAAAGTCCAGACGTTCTGAAGCTGTTCGTGAACAGAAGCTCTAAACGTGTGGGCATGAGCTCTAGCTGCCATGCCTGCAACTGGGATAGACCTATCTCCACCATGAAGAATCCACCCGAAAATTGGTGGTGTTCCCTTTAGACCATTTCTCAATTTCAACGTCATACCGTGAATAATACTGTCACAGCAATCTTCTCCAAACACAATACCGATGTTGTCTGCACCAGGACCAGCGAGATCAGCAAGGATTGAAAGACAACTGACAACCTCCTGAAGAGCTGGATACGACTCAGGATCTACCCTCTCAAAAACACCTGAGATTATTTACCACCACAGCCTGAAAGGCGAAGGTATTTGCAAGGTTCACTCCCCGTGCCGTCACCTCAGCAAAATTAAATTCACCATCCAACACATCTCCAAGTGTCTCAATCCGCAGTCGGCGTTTTTCAACAACTTTCTTCGGCACAATAGACGCCAGCTGAGATGACATCAATGTAAACGTGGCCCCAGTGTCACACAATGCTCTGACGGTTACGTTTCCTACTGCAACACACACAGTTCTCATCACCACGCCAGCACTCTTTATGTCAGCACCTTGTTGAAGCGATCCTCAACTGACATCGGTATGGAGCACTCTTTAGGGCTGTGTGTACCCTTGCAGAAGGTGCAGGTCACAGACTTTGCTATTAAACCTGACGCAGTTGGCAACAGTGATTTTCCCTTTTCCGTAGATTTATCCTAGATGTTTGACCCTTCTCATCTGACTGGTCGGCACTCTCCCGGATCCAAGAATTCTAATAACTTTGAGAAAGTTATGGTGTCCTTTTCCAAAGCAGCTTTCTGTCGGGCCCACTCCAATCTCCAGTCCTTGGGAGGCTTTGATTCAATCAAAGGCATCAATAAGGCTCCATATTGATCAGGAGTAACTCCTTGTACTTGCAGCGCTCGAACAGTTGCACAAAGTTCATCCAAAGCATCTCTCATCGCCTTGTTTGACTGATCAATTGGTTTCATGTCTTCTAACTTTGTCATGAGCCGGTTCCTTTGTACTTCATCCTTACCATAGCGTGACTGAAGGCGCTCTACAGCAACATCATAGTTGGCTTCTTCTGTTTTAAAGTCAGCAACATATCCAGCTGTTTCACCGGTCAGCAATAATTTTAGGTAAACAAACTTCTGCACGGGAGGTATATCAATGTTATCATGCACAGCTACCCTGAATTTTCATTTCATTTTGGGCGTACATGACGTACTCTTCGGAGTTAAAGTGGCGGGATCCACTTTCTCTGCCTTCTCACTCGAATTTTGCTTTTGCCGATTTTTTAACCACGATTTCAGTTTATGAATACGTTCTCTGACCATATCGAACCAGGAACCTTTAGCGTCCACTTCAGCCTGTACTTCATCGTCGTCGTTCAAGAGCCCTCAATCTCCATCTGCAAATCTTTGGCATTCTGCAATCTTGCAAGAATTGAATTGAGCTTTTCTTCCACTCTCTCATCTTAAGGTGAATGGGATTCAATAATGTTTCTAAGAGCGTCGAAATCTCTTGTCATCCAGCCTCTTAATTCAGTACGAGCTCTCCTCAGCTGGTCAAAATTAAAACGAAAATTTAATTTGGGTTTGTGAAAGACTATAAAAGCTCGTACGTATTAAATCTAGGATGTACGTGCATGCTAACTAAAACTGATGTTGCCTTATTTTCAATATTTGGTTTCATTAGAAGATTAGCAGATTTGATTTGATTGGCACTAATTTAGGCAAAATACAGTAAGAACCGTAGAAATGAACCTGAAAGTAAATCTAACCTTTTAACCGCTCAACAAGACTCCTAATTTTCTCGTGCTTCCCCAACGTTAGCACAGCAAAAAGAGGCTACATACTCCCAACACTGGTGATTCGTTCACTGAACAATGTTGCCCCTGTCATTTCTTGGGCTAGAAATTTTTCAGTGATGTTTTCATCAAAGACCTCAGCTGCCCAGTTTTTTACTCTTTCTTTTGACCAGTCTGATGTAAGAAATTGATGATATATGCATTTAAAGGTCACATTTTTGTTTGAGCAAAGCATGTTTAAAAAAGGCGCCAAAAATATGGCCAGCAAAAGCTTATCATATATATTGACTGTATTTTCTGTGATATAAACCTCCAGACCTATGGAATTTTTTATCCTAGTGTTAGAAGGACAAAAGAAAGGCATTTTCGTAAAAAGAATTGAATTATGAGGCAACATAGGCTTAAGCCAAGAACTCGCGAGCTTAAGGGGCTGTGCATAAAACTGGGACAGGGACATTGGGACGCGTGTGAGGGGACTTGGGACTTAAGGACATGAGGGGAGGGACGTGGGGACATCAATGGGACACGGGGATGTTTTGGATGTAGGGACGTGTGGGACGGGGTCTCCGGGACGTCAAATATAGGGGACGTGGGAGGTAAAGTTGGAGATAAATGTGATATCTCTTACTTTGTGAAAATGTGTTCTTTAAGGTCAACATTAGATTCCATTGTCCAGAACCACATCAGAGACCTTATGATGTTTACACAAAATATTTCTTTACATAGGAGTAATCGCACTGACTATCTTGATTATGGTTAAGCACTGTTAGCAAGCATTTATTGTTAGATTTGCCACTAAAAATATGTCAAACAAAAAAAAATATTGTTGCAATAATTGAATCCCCCGTGGTGTAGTGGCACATGCGATAGATTTCGGAGCTAGCACTTTGGGGTTCGAAGCTCACTTATGCCACAATTAATCTAGTTTCCTTTTTTAGTTATTTGGAGTCGAATGTTGTTATTCTAAATACATTTTGGCGACCGCCACCCACCCTACTCTGCTTAGGGCTCCAATTTTCTATCAGCAAGAAGACCAGGACAGCGGTTTCACTTTCTTCAATGCAGGGGGTCTTTGCAGAGTCTCCGTTTCGTAAACAGGCACCACGTTGTGCATTAGTTTGGTCGATTAAAAGTGGCGTTTAATTCTTTCACAAAAGGGAAATAACGACATTCAGTTCACTGTTTGGCGAGCATGATCACTTCTCGCTTTACAACTCACTGCCACTTCTTATTTTAAGGGCCGCAAATAAAGCATTTATACGAGATTCGTACATAACCGACTTGTCCTTAGGTGAATCAAAGTGTGTAACAAAGGG